GATGCATTAGCCAATGTCGGAGGAATCTAACCCAATCAATTCGCAATGAATTTATTCAGAGTACGATTCTAGACACTATATAATGGAAGGAAAATTATGGAAAATATACCAGTAAAACTAATTTGGTATATAAATACGTTAAAAATAATATTAAGCGTATGGGATGTACTGACAAAATGTCCTGGTGTTTTGTTTTTTAATGATATTTATTTATTTAATAATGCTAGGATCTGGTAGCAACATATTAGAAGGAAGATGAACTGCTGCAGTCTCAAACATTATTGTATCAATATAGATGTACACAAGCTAAAAGATGAAAACATCAGTATTCATCTTTTGGCCAAATTTGATCCAAAATGTCCACAAAAAGAACAATAGGTCCAATTGCAATCTTGATTTAAAAGACCTAGGCTAAACAAAAGCCACTATACAATACTAAATAATAATAAACTTATAGTTACTGCACTAGATATTATAACCTGTGTGAATCGTTTTTACTCATCTTAGATCATTGACTACCAGTAACGTTTAAGCTGGAACTAATTACAAAAACCATTTATAGGGGAGAAATAATGACATATAAGGTAAGGACATACTGAATTCCTGATTTTAAGAAGGCTATTCACAAATCTTTTGGGATTCTTAGGATCTGAATCAGCATCTGAAACATAAGTCCAAAAAGAATAAATCTTACACCGTAACCAACTTTCGCCGGGCCCCGAATTGGAAAAGAGATCTTTGCAATAAAAACAAGTATCTTATTTTTACTTGTGGATCTTTGGTATGTTTTCAGAAAAGTTAGAGTAGACAATCACACAGGTTTAATTTTTTTTGCATTGAATGAACTGCCCTGTAGTATGGTACTTATTTTGCCCATTGTATAAACATGCCATTATGTCCAAAACTGAACCAAAATAAATAAATAATTAAAATTCCTGATTCCGCTCACCTGATTAATAGAATAAAATTGATCAAAACCACCAGTGCTGGCATAAATTACAAATATCAATAAACAAGTCCGCAAATAACATGAGAAAATCACCCTCAAAATGAACTTTTGAAGGTGCGATTTACGTTTGAACTGATCACAGCGAGGAGACTGTGACAATGACGCCCAACATCTGACGCATGATTTCTAATGTGGTTCTTCTGAAAGATTTTCTAGATCTTAATGTTTTTCTCATAAAAATTTGTTAATTTATGCGTAGACATATTGTATGCTCGTATTTAAAAACATGATATAAAGTAGTAAAACATTCGGTAAATTTCTTAATGATTAAAAAAATTGACTAAAACACATAAGCAATATGTATAATAAGTATAATATTAACGATTATTTATGCATGCAGGTATATGCATCCATTTTTTTCTCTACGCTTTACCTTTTTTATACAAGTTCAGAAATCACACAAGCAAATACGATATTTCTAGTTTAAAAAAAAGTGAAATATACTCACAGATCGAATACTAGGTAGTGAAAATTTTCCTCTTGAATGCTGTCATGTAGTCGTACTGAAAAGAAGAATTAAATATGCGTAAAACATGATTATGTAAGTTAAGTTACAAATATTATGTAAAAAGTTTCAACACAAATATTGTAAATGTGAGAAAATCCTCAGTTAGAAGGAAATCGATCAGCATTAGGAACAAAATTTTGTCAAGTGTTCATTATTCCTAATACAAAAGTTTCAGTAAACAAAAATATGTTGATTACTATTAATTAGCACAAAATGGTAGTAAAGTTTTGTTTTTCATATCAGATATTGAATATAGAATTATTGCAAAAACAAAAGTGCGGACAAACAAGATACAAACTTTATAATATATTGAATATTTATCATGCATAGACTTTTAACCCATATTATCCAATTTAAAGTAATCGTTATTTGATACTTGTTATTTATATATTTAAGCATTATTGTAAGTTTTTTTTAACAAATTGACAATTTATATAGCTTTCTAGAATTAAGAATGGAAAATTCAGAACAAATTGAAAATTAGTTCAATTAAACAAAAAAAAAAATAAAAAAAAACAAATTAAATTAGTAAATTAATATCCTTAACTACCGATTTATTTGTTCACAGTTAAATCATGAAATTAAAAAAGTTATCCTTTTTAAATCATTGATGATTCTCCTAGCAACTTGCTCTATTTTATCTAAATATATTTAAATTTAAAATATAAACCTGATGGTGTGTTATATTTCTGGAATTGCAGTTCATTTTTTATATTTATTCTATTAATAAAAATAAATTATGCGATAAATTCTTACAGTAATAAGCTAAAAAATTAGAAATCAATTTGCTGCACCTTTAATATTAATAGAAAATAAGTAATATTCTCTATTAAAAATTTAATTGAAAAAAAATAGTAGAAAATATTGGTCTAATATGGGTTAATACTAGGGAATGCAATATCGGTTATACCCAAAAACCGGTATGCTGTATAAACTTTCGGCGGTATTAATACCGGTATTTACTTTAAAAATATTGGTATTTTCGGTATTGAAACATAAGTGCTAGTTGATACATGTTACACTCGAGCTTGAGTTTTTCCTTTAAAAAAATATACTTTTAGGTCGTTCAACATGTGTCAAAAAATTATCTCGACTCGTCATTAAACTAAATATTTATTGCTTGCCAGAAAACTTCATATCGTGTCATAATGAATAAAATCTGACTACTAAATAATGATGTTTATTTCCAATATTTAAAAATTGTAACGATTTTTTTAGTGACATCGCCAAAATATTCTATACCATAATTACTCAAAATGAACAAAATAATTATTTTATTTTATGTTAGGTTCATTTTTTATATTTGTTCAAGTTACTTTTAATTTAGTTCACATTTTTCGAAGTTGTAATAATACCGGTTTACCGAAAATACCGGTTTACTAAAAATACCGACAACGAATAATTTTATCGGTATTGCATTCCCTAGTTAATACCGAAAAACGTAATCTATATATATACAAGATATAAATTTTATAGATACTTAGATAAATTTTATATAAATACAATTACACATTTGAAAAAACAGAATGATATAAATATGCTTATGAGGATACATGAACAAATAATAAAGATAGTATTCAAAAATAACTAATTTAAAAAAACAGGGTATAAAATGATTCGATATACATATGTAGAAAAATATGACAGCATGCAAATAATAAGAAATGAATAAAAAGCCGCAATAGTTGTGACGACTTTAAAGAATAAAATATTTTTGGTTATATATTAATTAGAATAAATAGAAAATCGAACAAAGCTCACAAATGTTGAATAAATGCAATATAAATATATATTAAGAAATAAAAGGACGTCACAATTTTACGATACATAGCATTCAGTGGCCATTCATTATAGATCACAAAAATTAAAATAGAAATAAATCGAGGAAATATATAGCGAAAAGGCAAAACTGGAGAATAATTTAATAATATATAGAATTAAATATTCAGCATTGGAGTTTTAAATGATATAAATAATGAGAGTTTAAAATAATTGAAAGAAATGAAAGTAATTAAATTGAAATAGACACATATACACATGTATAAGGTTAGGTATATGAATAAATAAAAATAAATACACATCATACGTATATTTATTATATGCGTATGCATTTATGTATAATGATATATAAATATTATCTTTACAGCTACTGAACATAAAAAAATCTAACTATTTTTTTAATATTTATTATAAACGTTTTCTGCATCAAATCTATGAAAATTGTCAAGTTTGGTAATAGATAATTGATAGATTTCAATAAAATTTTATGTACTTAAGTTTAAAATGTATGTCCTTATATGTACTAAATGTTCTCGCAATCAGTTGTATTTCTTGGAAATGAAAAAAAAAAACAATAAAATTCTTAAACTTAAATAAAAGTTGTTTCACTAACTGATCAAAATTACTAAAAATCAAAAATTTAGGGTCCAATTTTCCAATAAAATATTATTTTCACATAGCGTTGTTATGGCAACGATTCTTTCTTCATATAAATTAGCAGTAAAAACTGTCAAGATGCTATGTATTTTCTATTTTATATTTCAGATATAAAACCTAAAGCAAAAAGTGCACAAACGTCATTTGAAAATTATCATAACTGCATGTTTCTGATGTGTCATTAATAACACATACGTGAAGTTAGGTCTTATGTGTAAGACGTCTGATATCAGCAAATACATAGCATTTTGACAGTTTTTAATACCAATTTATATGAAAAAACTACCGTAACACAGTCTTGCTGTAATATTTCTATTGTATGGGAGAATTGACCCCTTAATTTGTTTATAAGTAACTTGAACAGTATTTTCCTCAATTTTGACTTTTCTAGTAAAATAATTAACACATTAATCGGAAATCACATGTAGAAATAAAATTTAGTAAAAATTTGTGAAAATATAACACGATTAACAAATAAAAATCACTCCATCAAATTACATCGATAAAAACGACGAAATATTCTTCCAATATTTTTTGAAAATAAATAATAAAATTTATATTCATTGAATAATCTGAATTAAGTATTGCGATTATAAAAAAATGCTCCCTGAATGCGTTAATTTTTATACAATTAATTCGAATTATATTATTACCTAAGTACGTCAGAACTTCAGCGGGCCAAACTTTATAAAGACATAGAAATCAAGTCGTTAGGTGTGAATTATAATTTGTATAAAACATGAATTTACAACGGATATTAGTTATAGAAATTATTATTAGAATAAAAATATTTATGTAGTAATATATTTAAAAATATAGAAATATATACATATAAGATATATGAGTTAGAAAAAACCAAGGACTCCGCTAAAAATTATATTGGGCCTTAGTTTGTATATATAAATGTCGTCAGAAATTTAAGCATAAAAATTTTGTGAAAAAAAATATGAAACTAAATGTGTATTAATAAAAATATAAGTAAGAAATACAATAAAACTATTAGTTGTTACAATTAAATTTTGAACATTTTATGCGTGCCGTACTCACCTATATTTGGATGTTGAAGTTTTCGACAAATTCTTGCTTCTCTTTCTAATTTTTGAAAATCTGAAAGTAAGGGAAAAATACATTAATTAGATAAAATATAAACGATATTCAATAGATGTATAACAAATGTATATGCTTACTTAAAAAATCTAAAAATGACTAACGCCGATATAAATTTTTAAAATATTTTATGAAACAAACAGTATAATAAATTGTTGATTCTTTTTCTAATTTTTGAAAATCTGAAAGTAAGGGAAAAACATCAGATATTGTATAAACGATATTCAATAAATGTATAACAAATGTATATAATTACTTAAAAAATCTAAAAATAACTAGCGTCGATATAATTTTTTAAAAACATTTACAAAAAAATGTAAAAAAAACGTTGTTTCTCTTTCTTATCTAAAGTTAGGGATTTCCCACATCAATTAGATAAAATATAAACGATAGAAGTTGAAAAATTATTAATGATTTCTTAAAAAATCTAAAAATGATGGATGTGATATTAATTTAAAAAAATACAAAAAAGTGAATTACAAAATAAGATTTTATGAATAATACTTCGAAAGCCAACAAATAACTATGAGTGCAGTTATTACGTATTTATAAATATATTTTATATTTAAATTTATTTATTTAAAATATAAAAAAATATAAAAAATATATTTTCCTCCAACTCGTTGTATAAAATATAATTTTTCATTCTATATCGTAACCATAATTTTAAAATAAATATATAACTAGTAACCCTTTGCACTCCAATATTTCAAAAACTCCATATTAAAATGAGGCTAATAAGGCGTCAATGGTGTGCAAGGGGTTAAAATTCATTTATAATATTATGTGGCTCAATGCAGATTAAAATATCGAATTATTACTATTGAATATATTACGTATATTGAATTTTAATAAAATATAATAATAATGAATGAATAATAATACGAATTGTTTTGTAGTGTTGCTGTAAATTAAAAAAAATTATAATAGAAATTCAGGGACCAATTCAGGGATAAAATTGCAATTTTATGAAAATGTTATGTTACGGATTTATCTTCGTATGAGTTGGTAATAACGAACCGCCAAAAAACTACGTATTTGCTGTGCAATCAGGCGTTTTAGACATAAAACCTAACTTCACGTATTTGTTATCAATGAGACATCAGAAAGTTGCACTTATGATATAACAGAAAGCGTTTGTGCATTTTGTAGGTTAGGTTTTTAATGTAAAACACCTAAGCAAATACATGTTTTTTTGACAGCTCGTTACTACCAACTCATACTAAGATAGATCCACAACTTAGGATTACCATTACATTCCTATTTTATACCAAATTGATCATTTATTATTTATCATGTATAAGATTTTAAAAATCAATCAATGAGAATAAAAACATGTATGAATTTTGCACAATAAATTATGCAAAAGGTAAAAGGCAAAGGACACTGTAAAGAGTGTAATTTTGTATAATGAAAAATAATTTATCATGAACAAAATTTTGAAAGCTAATTATCCTCTAAGTTTTGTTCAAACTCCATCACATGTTACACAACCTGTGTGTTCTGTTTTCGCCATAAATTAATTACTGAAACTAATTAACGGCTTGTTTGTAATGAATTAAAATAGACTTTCATCAAAAACTATTGCGTTACGAGAAATTTGGTCGAATCTTTGATGATTACATGTGTTTATTTTTAGTAGCGTAGTTTTGCAAACGACCTTACAATGAAATAAACAAGTAAAACTGATGTGTCGACCATAAAGTAGAACCCTTTGATACCCATTCCATTATTCTGACGTTTTACAGAAAAGCTGTTAAAGTTTTAGTGCCGTTTCTGGTACGAAGGTGCGATCGTCGCCAGAGGTAAAACACATCAAAAAGGTGGATTCGCCTTTTATGACATATCGTATGCATGAATTTCGAACTTTTTTTGATGAGGAAAACATTAATAGTATATCGAACGCAAAATTTTAACGTTTCATTAACTTTGTGTGAAATAAAGAAAAACTCGAAAATATACCTTTCACAATATCTTTCCGTTTCAATACCTTTTAATCAATTTCATACATCTTAATAAAATGTCGAAACAATTACTCAATGTCTCAAGTGTGACAGATTGTAATTAAAAATATAAAAAAATATTAAAAAAAAAAATCATAATCTTGATAACTTTTTTTGCTATTATTAATGGATGCATGAAGGTAGATATTTTGAAGGTAGAAGGTTTATAAATATGCTTATGTGTCATAATATTTGAGTTCACGAATACTATACAGATGGCACAAAAATTTACTTAATGATGTATGTTAATAACAAATATAAGAAACTTTCAATTGGCATGCGCTCTATCTAAATGTTTATATTAAGAGCTAATACTATTACAGATTCATTTTTTATTAATTTAGAAGCATTGGCGCCCTTGGTAGCAAAGAAATTCGAAAATGTCCTTGTTAAGGACCACCCTAATATATATATATATATATATATATATATATATATATATATATATTATATATATATATACTTATCATATTTATATTATATATTTATACTTATTATAAAGTATCGTGTTTGTAATACGTTTATATGCACATTTCTTCGTGATTCGAAGTCAAAGAAGACATTGAATTATATAGGCACAAATTAATCAATTTAGATCGCTTATTTACCGGTCAAAACAATATAAATTGAGTCCACGCCAAACTATAAAATTTAGTCTGGAATCTTTATGAGTTATTATCACGCCATTTACTAAAGCACCTAACAACTTGATATCACGCAGATATCTGGTTCACAAAGGGCACCCGTAGCTTTCCAGGTAAGTTGGCCAAGATTAACAAGAATGTGTTTACCTATTAACTTTGACTAGCATTTTCAGGTCGACTATAATGGAAATTGACGTATGTAAAAGATTTCATTAATTTTTTTTAATAACAATCAGGTTGGTAGTTACCCCAGAGGGTATGAACCATGTGATGAATTTTACTAGATCAAATTAATTGGCCATAATTTTTTTTAGTCTTCTCTTTTCTGGTTTATAGAGTCATCAGACGCAATATATTATGAATTTAATTGCAAAACCTTCGAATCATTATTAAAAAAACTGATATTTCTAATAGAAACTTTCTACGCGTATATGGTTAAAAATGATTACCAATAATTCAATTATCATAAAAATTTAATATATTTTTTAGTAAATAAATATTTTTAAATCTTTCATATCTCATTTAGTATGGTATCAAGTACATCTAAATTACAATTTGAATAATAATAAAAGATTTGGTTGTAATAGTTTTTAATCTTCAAATAGTCCCACAGGAAGAAGACATTGAAACGTCGGAAAATCTTGATGCAATATAAAATAGAGCTTTCTGCGTATGACATATATAGTATAATATATTACATGTAAATATGCGACGTGTACTTTTCTAGAAAGTACCTTAGCCGAACCTCAGGGGATTAATTCGTCATGCACATTGCATCTGTTCAAATATTCCAGGACTGCTATAGTTTATATATATATATATATATATATATATGTATATATATATATATATATATATATATATACATATTTGAATGCGCAAGCGTTAAGATTATACTTTTGCTCTTCCGATACGAGATGTCATAAAAATGAATGCATTGCGGTGCGGCGTCTGAAGCTACAAAATGGTCCAAAAGGACGCTCGTTTGCTTCTCCCAAGACATCATAAAATAAAAGTTATCATCTTAATACACAATACCAATCCATTATACGACATCTCACGGTTATTAAATATTTAGAAAAAAAACTGACACGTTTGATAAAAATTGGCCGAAGATATCTTGGATAAGTTTATTTTTCAATCAACTTTAGGTGCCAATCCTCGGATAAAAAAATGGAAATGTTATGGCAACGCTATGCTATTCGTAGGAATTTATCTATCCGATGTATTTATGAACCTTTTTACCCTCGGCCTACCTTATATTTACCATGAAAAATATTATTATTTATTAAAAAAATGACTTGTAAATTTTTTTTGTTAAATCAAGTTTTTTCATAAAACTTGAAAAATCTGAATCGAAATTCTGTGAAAAACGTACACAAAAAACCAATAATTGACCAGTTATCAATCAGATTAATAATGATTAATAAAACTTGGAAGAGTGGTAGGAGGGTGATAATAGAGGGTTGCATGCATGTATTTTTCAAACTTGCATTTAAAAAAAATTAAGAAAATTTATACAATAAATTGAAAATAAAAAGTTTGAGTTAGACAACCCTTGATAAAACTAATTTTTTTAATGTGAAATTGAGCTTTTTGCTAAGCTCAAAAAATCTCATATATATTATATATACCTACAATTTTTAATTTCTTTTTTAATATCCTACATATACTAATATTTACCGTATACCTAACAATAATAATTATTGTTTTTTAAATTACTTTTCACGCCAAAATGCGTATACATTGCATTTCATTTAAAAATAGTAAATGTCAATTTCATATATCCAATATGCACTAAATTTATAAATGCCAAAATATTTCCTTCTTGGTCAAAATTTAATATAATATGATATAATTTATTTTTCAATAATGTATGTATAATTTGATTGGCAATATTGCCTATAACATAACTTGGAATAATCAATGTATTTGTTTCTTATTGAAGTCGTTAAAAATTCAATTTTTTTGATGTGTCAAAATTTTGTTTATGATTAATGTTAAATTCAATATGTCGCTTTTTCATTGTGATCTATAATGTTTTGAGGAAGTTTTGGTATCCGAACTAATTTGGTAAGCAAATCAAATAAATATAAATTATAAATCTATTTATCTAATAATTTTCATAAATATTGATAAATGTCATTTCACTTTTTTTATGTCAACATTTATTTAAATTTATAAACATTGAATTTTAATTAGATTTAGAACTATAAACAGTGATTTTGAATATAGCATTACATCTAATTTGGATATAAATGTTGGATATATCTATATATGTATATGTTTTTGAATTATATTTTTTGAACTGTCTAATATTTTTTTTCAAAAATCATAAATCTTTTTTTCTCGA